CCTCCTCGGGTCGCCGACGACCCCGGGGGAAACCGTGCACCCAGGCCCCCTATGTAGGCGTCGTGAAAATAGCGCGAGGGGCGTTTTTTTGTCGTCGGCCTCCGAGCGCCCTCCCTGGGAAGGGCTCGATCGAGCCGACATTCGCGCGCACATTGCCCGTCGGAAGGTCTTGCGTGAGCGCCCTCGTTCCGAAGGTGTCGTGCCGCGCTGGCGACTCGCGTCGGATGCCGCTTAAGGCAGCGATGTCCGCTCGCGTAGAGCCCGGTTTCTTGGCATCGCTCGGACGTGTGTATTTTTTTCTTTCGGCGCGGGCCATCGAGGAGCATCCTTGATCATTCGGCGAAAAAACCACGCACGAAACCGAAAAAAAACAGGGAATAGACGTCCGAGCGATGGCCAGCGCCCGGTTCTTCTCTTCGCTCAGAGGTGAACGCCACCAAGGCTGCCGTGCACGGCCGCACCGCCACCAACGCCACCCACAGGGGCAGGAGCCGGGGGAGAGTAAGCGGCAGAGGGGTATATGTAAGTCGGGCGTGTCCCTCTACAGGGGGAGTCTCCACAAATAGTAAATAACAAATAGTACGGGGACGACTTTTGACATTTTTTGATTATTCAGGGGGCAAGAAGAAAAAACTATGTTTGATTTCCTCCGAAATCCGCATGTAGGAGGACATGCCCGACCTAAGCATAGGCATAGATGTTCGACGGTCCGAGCGGATTTCTCGGATCGGCGTTGGGCCCCCCTGGCGGTGCCTCTGGCGCCGCCCATGGCGCGCTCCCCGCGCCAGGGAGGGAGGGTCCAATGCCAATCCGAGAAGTCCGCACAGACCGCCGAAACTTAGCTGCCCTGATATGCACGTGTTGAAACGCAGCGTGCACCCTGTTCAACACGTCTCTCACGCACGTGTTGTCCCAAAGTTTGCCGAAGGTTTATCGCGCCAGACCTGAGTCTGGCCATCCACGTGTTGAGCTCCGTGTCAGCGCGCGACGGGCTGCGTGTTGCGCATCGGGGCAGCGAAGCGCCGGAAGCTCATACCGTTGTTCCTTCCTCCCGATCAGAAGACGCGGCCTCACTTTAAGTCCCCATCTTTGTACCAGGAATAGTAGATCTGGGCGGCTTGGTGCGGGTCCTCTGCAGAAGAGATCCCTATCCCTGATGCCTCTGGCCCTCCCAGCTTAGCTCCCCTCCCAAAGGGTTAGGGGTCCTTTCATTGCGGACCAAACCCATCGATCCAATGTCGTGTTTTTTTCAATACGGGGTCCGCAGAAGTCTCGACCCCTTCCCCGGGGCCGGCTTTTCGTCCTGAGTCGTTTTCTGACGGCCCCGAGGCCCGGCGAGGGCCCCCCCGGGGCCGAAAAGAGTTGAAAACCTCCCGTCCTGATTTTTGCTTCACGACGCGATCATGTCTGGCTCCTCATCTTCTCTTCCTGCTCCTCCTCATCTTCCTCCTCCTCCTGCTCCTCATCCTCATTTTCTCCTCCTCCTCCTCCTCCTCCTCCTCCTCCTCTTCCTCCTCCTCCTCCTCCTAGCTCCTCCTCCTAGCTCCTCCTCCTAGCTCCTCCTCCTCCTCCTCCTCCTCCTCCTCCTCCTCCTCCTCCTGCCTGAGTCTGAGAATTTACTGCTGACCAAAGGAGGCGGCCGCACGCCCACGCACGCCACCGGGCACCGGGCGCCGCCGCCCCGGCCAGCCAGGGCGCCGCGCCGGCCCGCGCCGCGGCATACGGCCACGGCGCCGCCTCCGCCAGCGGGGCCCGCGCTGGGCTGGTGCGCAGGGAGCCGCGGCGGGAGGCGTCCAGCCTCGCGGGCGAGCGGGTGCCCTGCAAGCCCAGACCTCTCCTCGCGCTGCGAGAGAAAAATCACGACGCGGGAGGTTTTTCGCTATGTTCGGCCCCTAGGGTCCCTCGCCGGGCCTCGGGGCCGTCAAAAAACGAGTCGAAGGATGAAAAACCGGACCCGGGGAAGGGGTCCAAACCTTAGGGGGTCGACGTTATGAAAAAAAACAAGACGGAGGTTTTTCGCAAATTTCGGCCCCTAAGGGCCCTCGCTGGGCCTCGGGGCCCGCAAGAAACGACGCAGGATGAAAAACCCGTCCTGGGGAATGGGTCGAGATTTCCGGGGATCCCATATTGAAAGAATCACGACACCAGATCTTTGGAGACTGGGGTCAGTGCAAGCGGGGGTCAGTCAGTTGGAGGGTTTCTCCGAAGGGCTTGGGCGACCCGTCCTCCTCCTCCTCCTCCTCCTCCTCCTCCTCCTCCTCCTCTTCCTCCTCTTCCTCCTCCTCCATCTCCTCCTCCCCCTCCCCCTCCTCCACCTCCTCCTCCTCCTCCTTCTCCTCCTCCTCCTCCTGCTCCTCCTCCTCCTCTTCGGGTCGCCTACGGCCCCAGGGGGGCCCGTGCACAGTCAGTATGGGAACGAAGAATGGCATGAACATGATAGTTCGGAGGTCCGTGCGGACCTCTCGGATCGGCGCTGGGGCCCGCAGGCGGCGCCTCCAGCGCCGACCCTGGCGCGCTCCACGCGCCAGGGAAGGGGGTTCAGCGAGGATCCGAGAAATCCGCGCGGACCTCCGAGTTGTTATGTTTATGCCACTGCTCGTTCTCCTAGTCAGAGCGCAGGATCTTGCAGGATCCTGCAGAGCCAGGGTTGCACTGACCTGGGCCTGGGCGCAGGATCCTGCAGGATCTTGCAGGATCCTGCAAAGCCTGACTGACCCCGGTATGGATTGACCCGGGTCAGTAGGTCCCTGAAAACTCTGGGCCTCCCACTTGGGATCCGAGTAACCCAGAGGATCTGGAATACCCCCCCCCCAATAACGGGAGAACGGTCCTTGTTTGTGCGGGTTGATTCTTAATGGGTTGTGCCCCGGCAATATTTGGAACAATCATTTTTCCCCCGCGGCGGCCATCGCTTAGGTCTCTTGGCGGTTACATAAAGGTCGGGGGATCGCCCCGCATCGCCGATGCATGGGCGGTGCGGTTCGATGTGGAGCCCAGTTTTCTCCACGCCGACGTCGCCGATGCACCGCCGACGTCGCCGATGCATCGGCGATGCGTCGGCGATGTGGCGCGGTCCTCACCCCGACGCCAGCTGCTCGGACCCAATCGGGGAGGCCTCTGCAAACGACGCGGTGAGCACGCCGTGCGGGGAGCCGGTGGGGGGCCCAGAGCTCCGACGGTGTGATTTCAGCAGGGACCGGCCGTCCGGGCATTCCTATGGTCCTACCACGAAATGTTCTTAGAACCCAGAAATGTTCTAAGAACAAAAACCGTGTTCTTGGAACATAAACCCGATGTGGTAAAACAAGACACTCTCAAGCAGACATGTTCTAAGAACATGTCGTGGAAACCACAAAAGTCAGCGAGCGAAGAACAGAACTGTATAAAATCAACTTTTTCGCTGTCGGGGTCGCCTGTCCCTGTGCGGCTGGAAAGCTTATACCCTTACGGTTGGCACCGTAGGGGTATAAACTTTCCAGCCGCCCAGGGACAGGCGCCCCCCGACGGCGAAAAAGTTTATGTTGTACCGCTCGTCGCCCGTTAAAAAAGGTTCTTAGAACACTCTCTGGTGGGGCTGTCGGCGAGCCAGGACGCTTCGCCACTGCCTGAGAATGGTCTGTTCCATCCTGGCGCAGTCGTCCGCGGTCATCGGCCTCCACAGGGGCCGGCGGCCGGGCCCGTGGAGGCCATCAGACATGGATCCATGCAGGACGTGGAGCTGCCCTGCCCCCCCCCCCCCCTGACTCCAGATCCGACTCCCTCGTCCTCCTCCTCCTCCTCCCCCCCTCCTCCTCCTCCTCCTCCTCTTCCTCCTCTCCTCCTCCTCCTCCTCCTCCTCCTCCTCCTCCTCCTCCTCCTCCTCCTCCTCCTCCTCCTCCCCCTCCCCCCTCCTCCTCCTCCTCTTGCTCCGAGGCGCGCCAGGGGGGCAGGGCGAGGGAGGGGTGCTCTCCACCAAAGAAACAGAGAGGGCCCTGACTCCAGATCCGCCCTACTATGTGTGTGCGTCGTGCGTCGCCCCCCCCCCCCCCCCAGGGGCGACGCGCGCACCGGAAGAAATCGTGCAGTGTGTGCGTCGTGGCGGGCGAATTCTGGCCACACCGCTCGGGAAACGATACACCACAAGAGGGGTATACTACATGTCTGGCTCGGACGCGCGCCTCCAGGGAGAACGTATAGTACTGGTATGTCTTTATGCGTCCCACGCTGCCCTGACTCCAGATCCGCCCTACTTTGGCTTGTCTTCCCACGTAGAGTTGCGTCGGAAATCCACCTGTACGAGGCCGAAAAAAAGTAGAGCGGGAATTTCTGCACCCAACGGACAAAATCCACAGAAGCAGGGCGGAAACAGCCACCGAAAAGTAGGGCGGAAATTGGCACCAGCGGGGCTTCAAAAGTGAGGCGGAAATTCCAAGCCCTACTTACGGAGTCCCCCCAAAGGTAGGGCGGACCCCGGGGGGGTCGGAAGCTCCGGGGCCGCGGACTGAGAACAATCAGGTCGGAGGACATCTGGGGATGCTGTTTTGTTCTGCGCGTTCGTGGGGCCCGTGGCGCTCCCGCCTCGGGATGCGTTCTGGCAGCCGCGCTCCTCCGAGAGCTCTCCGATGGGTGCCCAGATGGTCCCGAGCGGCCGCCAGAGGCCCGAAGTGTGGCCCAGAGACCAGCACTCGCAGACGGGCCGGCGTGGTGAGTCCGTGGGGAGTCGGGGTGGCCGCACGGCTGTGGGGCTCGGGTCTGCCTCCGAGGACGTCTTTTGGGTACTTGGGAGCGTCCAGGGTCTCTGCCCAGGAAAGAGGAGCGATGGCTCGTTTGCTTGCCGCATCGCGGAGCCCAGACCCCTCCCCGGGGACCGTCCTGTCACCCCAGGGCCGTATGTTGCCGGTCCCGGGGCCCCGCGAGGGGGACCCCTTAGGGGCCGAGGCAGGCGAGCATGTCCCGCGGTCGCCTTCCGGATCGCGCCGCGCGGCGGTCCGGGTGCGGCGGGGTCCGTTTGGGATGCCGAGGCCAAGGCGAGCGCAACGGCACGGACAGCGGCAGCCGCCCGCGGGGCCTCCTGAGCGGATTCGCCGAGGCGCGGCGGCTGAGAGCGATTGGGGCCTCTCGAGGGGCGGAATTCGAATATGTCGAATTTCCCAAGCCCCTTTGCGTCGTACAAAAAACAACATGCGTTGTTGTTGTCGTCGTCGTCGTTGTTGTTGAACGTTAATTACCAAACAGGTATTATTGTTGGACCCCTTAAAGGCGCCCTGGCGCTCTCGCCGAGGCGCCGGCTGCATCTTCATTGAGAATGAGGCAATGAGGCTCACGCTCGCCCAACTCTCTTTTGAATTGGCGCCGCTCCCAGCAAGAGCAACGCTCCCGCTCGAGGCCTCCTCCCTTTTTCCTGAAGACGGTGCTGCTCCTCGCCGCCGACAGCCCCCATCCCGACAAAACCACGGCTCCCGCTCGATGCCTCCTCCCTTCTTACTCAAGGCGGTGTTCCTTCTCGCCGCCGAAAGCCGCCGCCCCGACAAAACCAGCGCTCCCGCCCGAGACTTCCTTCCGTTTTACGCTGGATTGGCGCCCTACTCTCTTTTGAAGTGGCGCCGCTCCCAGCAAGAGCAATGCTCCCGCTCGAGATTTCCTCCCTTATTCTTCGGGACCGTGCTGCTCCTCCCCGCCGACAGCCCCCGTCCCGACAAAACCACGGCTCCCGCTCGATGCTTCCTCCTTTCTTACTCAAGGCGGTCTTCCCCCTCGCCGCCGAAAGCCGCCGTCCCAACAAAACCACCGTTCCCGCTCGAGACTTCGTTCTGTTTTACGCTGGACAGGCGCCCTACTCTCTTCAGATTTGGCGCCGCTCCCAGCAACAACAGCAGCCCTGCTCGAGACTTTCTCCCTTTCTATTCAGGGCTGGGTCCTTGCATCACCGCCGACAGCCCCCATCCCCACCAAGGCAATCCTGTCGTTCGATACTTCCTTGTGCTTTACCCTTCGCTGGGGCTCCACTGGCGTTCTCGCATCGGCGCAGCAAGGCGCGGGCATGTGTTTTCGAGGCGGGATATGTTGAAATTCCTCGGAGGAGGTGTTTGCAAGACCTCATTGGGCGGGAGATCTGGGAATGGGAGTAACGGACCCCGCTATAGAACAAGAGTCCCCCATGATGTGGATTGTTATCATGATGGTCGCATGCTTCGTGTGGAAACATCGCGCATGAGGGTACACTGATTGTTGTTGTTGTAGTAATAGTTGTTGCTGTTGCTGTTGTTGTTGTCGTTGTTGACTTTGATGTTGTTGTTGTTGCTGTTGCTGTTGTTTGTTAGTGTTTAGTGTTGTTTGTTGTTGTTTATTGTTGTTAATTGTTGCTTATTGTTGTTGTCGTCGTCGTTGTTGTTGTTGCTGTTGCTGTTGCTGTTGTTGTCGTTGTGGCTGGTGTGGTTGTTGTGGTTGTTGTGGTTGTTGCTGTTGCTGTTGTTGCTGTTGTTGTTGTTGTTGTCGTTGTCGTTGACGTTGTCGTTGTCGTTGTTGTTGTTGTTGGTGGTGGTGGTGTTGTTGTTGTTGTTGTTGTTGTTGTCGTTGTTGCCGTTGTCGTTGTCGTTGTCGTTGTCGTTGTCGTTGTTGTTATCGTTGTTGTTTTCGGCCACTGGGAGCCCTCGCCAGGCCCCCGGACCGTCAAAGCACGACTCAGGACGAAACGCCCGTCCTGGAGAATGGGTCGAGATCTCTGGGGGGTCGACGTCAGTTATGGAAGAGGCTCTCCTGGCGAAGCACCCATACATGTACAGTTGGGAGTACCGCCGTTGTGAGGTCCGCCTTCGGTGCATCTCCGTATGGGGGCCACGAAGCGTGTGAAGTGCGTGGTGACAGGGGGCGGGGACGCCATGCGGGCCACTGGGGCCTGAGGGTGGGCTCCCTGTAGGGCAACAAAACGTGTGAGAAGTGTGCCGAACTGGGGCGTGGCCGCCATGCGAATTTCCTCATGTGTCCACGAAACGTGTGAGGGGCGTGCCGACATGGGGCGGGACCACCTTGCGATCCTTGCCACGGGGCCTTCGGTCGGGTTCCCCATGGGGCCACGAAACATGTGAAGGGTGTGCCGAACTGGGGCGGGGCCGCCATTGGGCCGCCATGCGATCCCTGCCACTGGGGCCTTCGGTGGAGCTCTCCATGGGGCCACGAAACGTACGAGTGGTGTGCCCACAATTGAGTGGGGCCATGAGCCGTGTGATGTGTATATGTGTTGTGTGCGTGTATGTGTGAGAGAGAGAGAGAGAGAGAGTGTGTGTGTGTGTGTGTGTGTGTGTGTGTGTGCTGTGTACTGTGACTTCGACAGTTTTCGATCGCAATCAGCACCTCCATCTGCTGCTCGCGCCTGAGGATCCTCTGCGCCGCCGACTTAACACATTATATGTTTGTGTGTGTGCGCGTGTGCGTGTGTGTGTGTGTGTGCCAAAATAAGGCGAGACCGCCATGCGAGCCTTGCCACTGGGGCCTTCGGCGAGGCTCCCCATGGGGCCGCGAAACGTGTCAGAGGTGTGCCGAAATGGGGCGGGGCCGCCATGCGAACCTTGCCCCTGGGGCCCTCGGTGAAGCTCCCTGTGTGGCCACGAAACGTTGAGGGGTGTGTCACAGAGGGGTGGGGCCGCCATGCGGGTGCTGCCATTGGGGCCTTCGGTGGAGCTCCCTGTGGGGCCACGAAGCGTGTGAAGGGTGTGCCGAGATTTGGCGGGGCCGCCATGTGATCCCTGCCACTGGGGCCTTCGGTGGCGTCCGCTGTAGAGCCAAGACACGTGCGAGGGGTGTGCCGAACTGGGGTGGGGCCGCCATGCGATCCCTGCCACGGGGGCCTTCGGTGGAGCTCGCTGTGTGGCCACGAAACGTGCGAGGGGTGTGCCAATTTGGGCGTGGCCGCCACGCGAACCGTGCCGCCGGGCCTCCAGTGGAGCTCAACATGGGGCCACGAAGCGTGTGAGGGGTGTGTCGAGATGGGGCGGGGCCGCCATGCGGAGCCTGCCGCTGGGGCCTTGGGTGGAGCTCCCCATGGGGCCACTGCGCGTCTGATCGGCGTGCCGAGATTCACATGAGAAGTCAGGAGGGGCAGTGGGAGGAGGAGGAAGGAGGACGCAGGGTGCTGTCTGTGTTCAAGATGAAGACCCGACACCACAGAACATGGTGTCGGAGATTCGAGGCTCGCGGCTGCCGGGCGTTCCCATCGGTCCTCGGAGGGTCTCCAGCCTGGCGGGGTGCTTTGCAGCGACGGACTGCGCCTCGTCGAGGGCGCTCCTGGGGTGCCTGGATCGTCCTGAGCGGCCACCGGATGCCCGAGTCTGAGTGATAGGGCCCGATCCAGATCTTTGTTGACGATGTTTTTTGTTGTTTCAGTCCGGGCGTGTTTCCTCGATTCCGGCTGGGACCATCGTTCGCGGACGCAAAATTGGCCCCAGGAAATTGTCTGGGCAAGGACCTGGTGGCCTCAGTTAGTGAAGGTTCAGCCTGGGGTCCCCTTGGCAGGGTCCCATCACTCGGGGCCTCATTTCTGCATCGCCGAGAGGTGCTCCTGCCGGGCGACGAGGGAGGCACCGTCGGCGAGTCTGGCATCGCACTCCTCGTGTTCATGGTCTTCGCCTGCCTGAGGTTCGGCACGCGCCTGGGCTCCGTCTTCTCGCAGCACTCGCCGCAGGCCGACGCGAATCCGCCCCGGGCCGCCGGCCAGGCGGCCGCGGCGGCCACGAGGCAGCCCGAACCGCGCAGGGCGGAAGATGCGCTGCTGGCAGTGGACACGCCTGCGTCGGCGGAGGCGTCGAGCACGAGAAACTGCGTTCGCAGAGGGCGTGTGGCACCCCGCGCGGGGAGTTCTCGGATCGGCGCGGGTCCCCCCTCCCTGGCGCCGCCCCTGGCGCGCTCCCCGCGCGTCACAGAGTGAGGCCCAGCGCCGATCCAAGAAGTCCGCGCGGAGCTCCAAAAGTTTGTGTCTGTGCTGCTTCTCCTGCTCCTCCTCCTCCTTCTCCTCCTCCTCCTCCTCCTCCTCCTCCTCCTCCTCCTCCTCCTCTCCTCCTCCTCCTCCTCCTCCTCTCCTCCTCCTCCTCCTCCCTCCCCCCTCCCCCTCCTCCTCCTCCTCCTCCTCCTCCTCCTCCTCCACCTCTTCCTCCTCCTTCTCCTCCTCCTCCTTTTCCTGCTCCTCTCGAGGAGGAGCCCTCGCGCGCTGCCTCGCCCAAGGCGGCCGCGCCGACGTCCCAGGCGGCGTCGGCGTGGCGCTGCATTGCCGCGCACCAGCCCCGCGCCGCTACGGAGGCGCTCGACCGGTGCTCCGTTTCGACCGTGGGGGAGGAGGTGGAGGAGGACGAGCAGGAGGAGGAGCGGGAGGAGGAGGAGGAGGAGGAGGAGGAGGAGGAGGAGGGCGAGTGCATGTTGAATTGAGGACGCTTCGGTCTGGTACCATCACGCCGGAACGCAAGGAGTAGGAGGAGGAGGAGGAGGAGGGGGAGGAGGAGGAGGAGGAGGAGGAGGAGGAGGAGGAGGAGGAGGAGGAGGAGGAGGGGGGAGGAGGAGGAAGACGAGTGCATGTTGAATTGAGGGCGCTTCGGTCTGGTACCATCACGCCGGAACGCAAGGAGTAGGAGGAGGAGGGGGAGGAGGAGGCGGAGGAGGAGGAGGAGGAGGAGGAAAAGGAGGAGGGGGAGGGGGAGGGGGAGGGGGAGTGGGAGGGGGAGGGGGAGAGGGGGGGGAGGAGGAGCAGCAGGAAGAGGAGGAGCAGCAGGAGGAGGAGGAGGAGGAGGAGGAGGAAAGATGCTGATAAGACAAATAATAAGAAGCACCGTAAGACGAATCATAATTCCACCACTAACTATACTGATACTACTATTGCCAATGATATTAAACATAATAATCAGGATGGTCGTATATAACAACAGTAATGCATAAGTCGGAGGTGAGGGGGTGAGATCGAAGTGGAACGGAGAGCCCCCCTACCGGGAAATCGATTTTGGTTTCGTGTTCGTGCGTGCCGTGCGGGCGAGGCGAAGCTGCGTGGGCGGGCGAGAGAAAGTCTCCTGTGGCTGAGGCGCGGCCGGAGCAAAAGAACCTTGACCGGGCGGCTGTGCCGCACGGTGCCCCGCCAGTGTCCCGCTGGTGTCCCGTGTGGCTGAGGCGCGGCCGGAGCAAAAGAACCTTGACCGGGCGGCCGGTGCCGCGCGGTGTCCCGCCGGTGTCCCGCTGGTGTCCCTTCGGTGTCCCGTCGGTGTCCCGATGATGACGTGGATGATTATGATGATGATGGTGATGATGATGATGATGATGGTAATGATGATGATGTTGATGATGGCAATGATGATGATGTTGGTGTCGTTGTTGTTGTTGTTGATGATGATGATGATGATCATGATGATGATGATGACGTCGATTGTGAGATCGATTGTGATATCGATAGTGAGACCGAATGTGAGATCGATGGTGAGATCGACTGTGAGATCGATTGTGAGATCGATAGTCAGATCGATTGTGAGATGATGATGGTGATGATGGTGATGATGGTTATTAATGATGGTCACGATGGTGATGATAGTGATGATGATGATGATGACGACGATGGTGATGATGATGATGATGGCGTCGATTGTGATATCGATTGTGAGATCGACTGTGAGATCGATAGTCAGATCGATTGTGCGATGCTGATGGTGATGATGGTGATGATGGCCATGATGGTGATGATGAGTGTGGTGTTGATGATGATGATGATGATGATGATGATGATGATGACGTTGATGATGATGTTGATGATGATGACGGTGTCCCGATGATGATGTTGATGATGATGATGGCGATGATGAAGATGATGATGATGATGATGATGATGATGATGATGATGATGATGATGATGACGTTGATTGTGAGAGCGATTGTGATATCGATTGTGAGATCGATAGTGAGACCGAATGTGAGATCGATTGTGAGATCGATTGTGAGATCGATTGTGAGATCGATAGTCAGATCAAGTGTGAGATCGAGCGAATGAGATAGATCGAGTGAGATCGATTGTGAGATCGATCGAGTGAGATCGATCGAGCGAGACCGATAGTGAGATCGATAGTGAGATCGATAGTGAGACCGATCGAGTGAGACGTTGGTTCCTCCCCCCCCGGACCTCCTTATCACCCGAAGGGTGGTCGTATAGTTAATGCATAATCAGGCGAATAATATTATTCGCATAGTGAGAAGAATAATGATAGTGATCATACTAAGCGAAGGATCATAATGATGCTGATTGTTCTGCTGCTGATGATGATGGATGATGATCATGATGATGAGGCTGATGATGCTGGTAATGAGGATTATGATTCGGATGAGGGTAATGATGACGATGATGCTGATGATGAGGATGAGGATGAGGATAAGGGTTATGATGCTGATGCTGAGGATGATGATGATGAAGATGAGGATGATGTTGAGGATGATAATGATGGCGATGACGATGACGATAATGATGATGTTGAGGAGGGGGAGGGGGATGGTGGTGGTGATGATGATGCTGACGATGATGGTGATGATCGTGTTGCTGCTGATGATGATGATGATGATGATGATGATGGTGGTGGTGGTGGTGATGACGTTGATGAGGGGGATGATGATGACCAGTGTAAACCGAAGACTCATCAACAATGTTGGGATACACCCTTCCTCCAAGCTCCCTCTCCATAGGCCCCATACAAGGGTTCATTTCCACTAAGGGAAGTGCCATGTTGGGAGACAACCGTGTGAAAGTCCTGCAGCGCGCCGAAACGCCATTCTCAGGACTTCAACGTCACGAGTCGACCTGACTGTTGCGTGTTGACGATCCTGAATCGCGCCAGAACGCCATTCCTGGGACTTCAACACTGCGAATCAACGTAACGATTGCGCCCTGACAGTGCTGAATCCTTCGATTTTTTCTGGATGGTTAACCCTGAGAATCCACAACACCTCTACAATGTGATAAAGCGACTGTGCGCAAACAAGCCGCCCTCAATCCGTGAAGCTCTTGCAAATATTTCAACCGAGTGTTCGCGGCGCTGAGGCGGGAGCCACATTTTGGAAACCACCCGCCTTCAATCCGTAAAGCATGTGCAGGTTTTAGAATGTGCGCGGCGCTGAGGCGGTAGTCACATTTTGAAAACGACCCGCCCTCAATCCGTGAAGCTCTTGCAAACTTGTCAACCGAATGAGCGCGGCGCAGAGGCGAGAGCCACATTTGGAAATCCACTCGCCCTCCATATGCGAAGCTGCTGCCAGTTTCTGAGCCTCAGGCCCATCAAGTGGTAAGGCCCGCCCTTCCGACCGGAGTCGGGCTGCGACAGGGAGGCATTATTCACAAGGGGGAAGGACTTGAGAAGGAGGAGGAGGAGGAGGAGGAGGAGGAGGAGGAGGAGGAGCAGTGGAGGAGCAGGGGCGAAGGAGGAGGAGTTGAGAAGGAGGAGGAGTGGCGGAGGAGGGGCGAAGGGCGAGGCAGCCCCGCGCCGCCCCCTGAGGCCCTCGACCTGTGCTCTGTTCCGGCCGTGGAGCGGCTGCTGCCAGCGGCGGGCGGCTACGACTGCACGCTGTCGCGGCCCCTGAGCTCCCGCGGGCCGGTGCGGCTGCAGGCCGTCGGGCGGCGGGTGCCCATCGGCCATGCGTACATAGGAGTGGAGGAGGAGGAGGAGGAGGAGGAGGAGGAGGAGGAGGAGGGCCCCCCCCTTCTGGGCCCAGCAGGGCCCCGTGAGGGGCCCTAACGGGGCCCCTTCTCGGCAGCCTGCGCTGCCCCCCCCCCCCCTGTGTGGCCCCCGCATGTGTTCGCGCCCCGGGGCACGCGGGTCGGGAGGATCGAAGCGGGTACGGGAAGAAGGGGCACGAAGATTGCCAGCAGGTCTTGTAAAACGACGCGAAGATCGGGACAAAATCGGATCGGGATACTGCGGGTTTGGAGGATGTATTGGACGCCGCGGCCGCTCCAGAGCGTTCCGGAACGCTCTGAGAGCGCTCCGGAACGCTCTGGAGCGATTTATCCCGATCCTAGCCCTGTTGTATCTTGTTCATCATGAGCAGGGCTCGCCGTCGGTCTCGGCGCGGGCGTGCTTCGTGTGAGACGGAAGGTCGTCTCCGCCCAACGGCGACCGCCGCCGGTTCGGGACGGCATCTGTGGTTGGGCACCGCACCCGTGCCTGTCCGCACCCATCTCGGGCATCCCCAACAGAGGCCCCACCACTATTGGCAGGTGCGCCTTGGAGTGCCTGGATTCGGCCTCCTTCGCGGCCCCACCCGCAGCCGCGCACGAAAGGCCGTGCCTGCCGGGGGTCGCTGATGTGCGTGTGGCCGAGCCCAGCCGCCCAGCCGGGCGGCCCAAGGTCCGAGGACCCAGGGGGACAGATCGAGGAGGGGGGATCGGAGGCCAGGGTCTGGGGCGGAAGGGGGAGGAGTGGTCGAGATTCGAGGATCGAGGTGGATTCGGGCCTTGGGGGGGACCTCCGTGAGCGCCCTATTGGCTACGGCTGGATCCGCCCCGGCATGTTGGCCAAAACTCATCCTGGGAAGGCCCTGACTCCAGGTCCGCCGTACTGTGAGTGACTTTCGCTAGCAACATGGTGTCGGAACCGAACCCCACCCTGCGCGAAAAAGTAGAACGGATACCTCAGATTGCGTAGTATAGGGCGGATCTGTCCGCAAAGGTGCGGCAGAACCAGCGACGGCAAGGTATAACGGAAATCGACACCAGAGGGGCTCGATGTCCGCCCTACTTGCGAAAACGCTTTGAATACGGCGGAGATGGAACCAAAACCCTTTTGCACCAACACGTAGGCGTATCCTCCTCCACTGCCCAACGTCTGATTCCATTTGGGCTCAGGAGCACGGCCGTTTCAGAAAAACGGTTGGGCGCTGAAGCTGGCCCTTCAGCCGTGCGCCCTCGGTGAGCAGAGTACCCTTTGCGCTTGCAGTGTCGGAGCCTGGGTCGCCACCGCGGGCATGCGGAAAGATAGCGAGTGGTACTGGCGCGAGCAGCGGCAAGGGGCATGCGAGCGCAAGAGGCGGCGGTGCTCTACACGATCCTTCGGGACGGGAGCCGAGCCGACGCGCGGATGAGTCGCGCTCCCCTCGTCGCCTGCACGGCAAGACGATGGTGAGTGGCACGAAGTTCGCGAAGGGTACGTCGGCCCGAGGATCACCCCCGAGCAGGAGGTGTCCCCGCTGATCAAGGACTCCGACGGCACCATCTGGTTCGCGGGCGGCCACGTCATCGACCACGACACCATCCCATGCCGCCACCCACAGCAAGGATGAAAAACGGTCGCATCTCCAACGTCGTCCAGGCCTGCGACAATGACGACGTCCCCTCCTTCCCGCAAATTGGCTCGATCCTCGCGCACGAGTGCATTGCCAAGGCCATGGGCGGCGAGCACAAGCAGACGCTCGTCAATTGCACCCCAGATTTCACGAACCCTTGCCATCACTTGTGTACTACTGCCATGGCAGCAAGAAACACGCGGACCAGAACTGTTGGCGCAGGCCCGGCATTATGATTTTGACGGCCGAGTGGCACAACATGAGGAACAAGCGGAAGAAGTAGCCCCCGTCGAGCAGGTCGCGACCATCTTCCGCGCCATGGACAAGGAGTTCAAGAACCATGGGGGCAAGACGGTCGTGCATAACGTCTGCCTGCGTAAGATCTACGAGGCCATCTTGAAACATGAACGCCCGGGGCCGCGGCCGACTTCACCATCGCCTTCGTCGACGACAATCACATCATGTACATCTGCCCACGCTGCAAGACGGCTCCCGTCAAGCCGAAAGAGCGGGTGAGCTGCACGCTACCAGCGCAGCAGGATGCACCAGTTGGCACCGCCACTGAAGGTGGTCATTGGAGGTGTGTCAGCAAGAACTGCAGCATCAGGTGGGGGGCGAAAGGCGCCAACGCGTGGGAGTATCGAATTGGCGTCTTTGCGTCTTCCCGTTCCAGGCCATCGTCGACGCGGGAGGCGCGTCGGAGGCCAGCGACGAGAAGGTCGAGTCCATTGAGCGGTCCCAGGTGCACGCGCCGCCCGAGCAGGCGGGCATGGCCTTCTTTGGCCATGGCGGCCTTGAGGGGGAGGGCATCCTGACCGTGCTCAGGCCGGCCAAGCTGGTCTCCACATCCGCGCCCGCGACGGCTGCAACCTCGCCTTGGACGGCCTCATGGCGGAGGAGATTGGCGCGGCCATGGAAACCATCGACGCAGGCAACGAGGGGGCCTGCAATTGGCTCATCAGGCACGTGCCCGGGTGCCCGCGCACCCGGAGAAGGGGGCCGCCGCGCGTGAGCCCAGGCAGATGGGCGCCCGCCCCAATCGCGATGGCCCGCGCCTTGCCCTGGCCAGGGCATGTTCACGGGTAGCTGCGGCGCTTTCCGTCCGCCAGCAGAATGCCCCATGCTGGGTCTCGAGGATCGCAGAAGGCCCTTCGATTGAATGCCCCCGTATTCTTCGACCTCGAGGGCGCCCGCGGCCGCGGCGCGCGGCAGAAAGGCGCGCGGAAGATGCGGGGGCGCGAGTGCCGGCGCCAGCTGCAGGCTTCCGAGGAGTAGCTGCATGCGCGTCGCGACCGCAGCTGATCGGCAATGCATGTGCGCCAGGCTTCACGAGGTCCGTCTCGCATCCGCGGCGGAGGGGCCCAACGCGGCCCGGGCCCGCCTGCGCGCGGGCGACGGCGCCGGCGCCGCGCGGCCCCAGGGCCCAGGGCAGCGGGCCGGCCGGGAGCTGATGGCGCGCCGCGCCCAGCTGATCATAACAATCGGCGAGATTTTCTCGGCGCCTTCAGCGGCGGGGCCTCATGCGACCCTTCGAGGCGGGGGTCTCGTCGGCGGGGTGCCCCGTGCTGGGCCGCGAGGACCGCGGGAGGTTCGTCGACTGCGTGCGCCCGTTCTTCGACATCGCGGGCGCGCGCGGCGAACCGAGCCCCCGCCCTCTGGCAAGCGGCGCAACTGCGCGCGGAAGTTGCGGGGGCGCGCGAGTGCTAGCGCCAGCAACAGGCCGCCGAGGAGGAGCTGCTCGCGCGCCGCGACCGCAGTTGATCGGCCATGCAATGGCGCCGGGCTTCACGAAGGCCGTCTGGCATCAGCGGTGGGGGGGCGCCGCGCGACCCTCGGCCGCGCGGCCCAGCAGCGCCGCGGCCCGCCCGGGGGCCGACGGCGCGACGCGCCCAGCTGATTGTCGATGCACGCGCGGCCAATTGGCAAGATTTTGTTCGGCGCCTGCAACGGCGGGGCTCCGCGCGACCCATCTGGGCGGGGGCCTTGTCTGCGCGCGGGCGCGAGCGCTGGCTGCCGCGCAGCGACCGGACCAGGCGACCGCCCGCAGCCAGCGCCGGGCTTGGCTTGCGGGGTCGTCGCGCGATCCGCACGTTCTTGCTCGCGCCACGTGGGCGCTGTTCTCGCCGGCTCAGTGGCCCTCCGCGCGACCGCCCCCATCTGCGAGCCTGTGGGCCTCGCGCTATACCCTGCGAGCCTTCGCCCGCGGCGCTGCGCGCGCGTCTGCGAGCAAGGGGCGGCGCGCCAGCATGCCGCCGCGACCCCCCGCGGGGGGCGAGAAGGCAGGCGCGCCCGCGGGGCCGGGCTTGGCAGGAGGGCGCCGAGGGGAACCGCGGGTTCGAACAAGTCAGAAAATGCGCGGAGTCGTCGGCGAGATTGGCGAGGAAGGCGCCAGGGCCGACCTGCCAGCGGAAGTGCCCGGCAGCACTGGGGCCTCGCTTGAGGCGGGTCAGGGGCAGATGCGAACGCGCCCGCGCGTAGCGCGGCTCGTGCGCGGGCGTTCTCGCGAGGGCGGTCGCAGTAGTGATAATGATGTCGGGGGGGAGGGCCGCCCGCAAGCGCCCTGCGGCCTCGCCCCCGCGCGCGGGAGCTGGCGACCATGACCCCCCCGTGCGCGCTCGCGCCGAAGCGTCGGCGAGCGCGGTGTCGATCGAGGGGCTCTGGGGCAGCCGGCGCCGCAGCACCAGCCTCTAGCTTTCCAATGCCCGAAGACGGGTCGGAGGAGAATCTGCCTCCCCGACCGCGAGGTTCTTGCGTCCAGCCGCCTTTGCATTGAACAGTCCAGGGCCGCAATCTGATGCAGTCCCAGGTGATTGGTCAGGCGGAGGTCTGCCTCGTGCGCACGGCGCGTTTCGCGCGCCGCCGCCAGCCTCGGCGCGCTCGCCGAGGGCTGGCCAAAGAGTGCGCAGGTTCTGGCGGGAGGTCCTCGCAAGAGTCGAGGGCCCAGGCCCGCGCGGATTTTCGGAGGCGCGTGCTGCCTGGCAAGGAGAAGGCGCCCATCTCGGAGTTGGTTTCGCCCGCGGCGGCCGCGCGGGCCAAGCGGGCGCGGGGGTCGGATGTCTCCGGCGGTTTTTGCGGGGGCAGCCTGCGCCCGAGGTCCGCCCGCAGCGGGGCCTGGTACTGCGCCCGGGGGCCGCCTGTCCAGCTCATCGTGCCAGCGCTCGAAGGAGCGCTCGCTTCAATCGGCATTGCCTCCGCCGAGGAGGCCCGCGAGACAGGTCACCTGGCCGTGGCCGAGGGGGCGGCGAGGGCCGCTCAGCGTGAGGGGGTTGGCCCTTAGCCCGCGGGGCTGAGTTGGGGCCGAGGCGACGGCGCCGGCCCCCGGCGGGGCCCTCCTGGGCGTCTCCGGCGCGCCCTTCTGCCTTCATTTGCGAGCGAGCCGTCAAGGCCTGAGGAGGTATTGAACAATGCCGGGGCGCAAGCAATGGCATGCCATTGCTTGTTTCCTGGCAGTAATGGCTTGCCGCATATGCATAAACGTAGACTTTTGGAAGTCCTCGCGGACCTTCGAAAGCGCACGTGCAATGCTACGCGTCGTGCCCCCGAGCGGCGCGCACCCCGCGCCCCGCGCTTAGCCGCCCCCGCGCCGCCTCTTGCCCGGCGCGCCCCGCCGTCGCTCGACTCGGCCCGCCGCTCGTCCTCCGGCGGCCGCAGGCCACGAGAGTGCGCTGTCCCCCGACGGTGCAGTCCTGCATCGAAGGGAACTGGGCGATGCGCACGCGCCGATCCTGGCCAGGCCCACGCCTCGGCCCAGGATCGGCGCATGTGCCGTCCTGGCCAAGGCAGGAGGGCGTATGCACCGCTCCTGGGCTCAGGATGGGCCTGGCCAGGATCGGTGTATGGGCTAATGTTGTTTCCATCGCATTGAAGGACCAGATCCCATATATAATTTCGAGCACCCAGAGAAGTGCCGAAACAGCGTCGAATGAGTATCGCCTCCCAGGGCCCGACACGTGAAAAACATCCCGTTTCGGTATTTTACTGATGCCCGAAATTCTTTCTGGCGATCAAGGCTAACGTAGGTCGGAACATCATTAATACGGGCATGGTTCCCCGGTGGTGTCCTCCCACGGTGCCCAAGTGTGCGCTCCACCACCGCCTCACTCACCCCCACCCCTCTCCCAGGGGAGGGGCAGGAGGGGAGGGCCGAGGCGGGAGGCGCGACGGAGGCGGTGGTGGCGCATATCTCCTGGGGCCCGCGCCTCCCTGAGGCCCGCGTGGAGGGCCCGAGCAGCGGGCTGCCCGCCCTCGCGGCGCCGCTGAGCCAGCGGCCCTGCGTGCTCTTTTCCGCCGCGGCCTCGCGCCGCGTCCACGGCGGCCTGCACGGCGGCCTCACGGTGGCCTTCGAGGCGCCCGGCGAGGGCGGCGTGGCAGCACGAGCAGCCCTGGGGGAGGTCCTGGCTCCCAGATCGATCCGGCGCGGCGAGGACACACACGCACACACACAGACACAGACACACAGACACAGACACAGACACAGACACAGACACAGACACAGACACAGACACAGACACAGACACAGACACAGACAGACACAGACAGACAGACAGACAGACAGACAGACAGACAGACAGACAGACAGACAGACACACAGACAGACACACAGACAGACACACAGACAGACACAGAGACAGACAGACACAGAGACACACAGGCACACAGACACACAGACACACAGACACACAGACACACAGACACACAGACACACAGACACACACACACACACACACACACATCGGGCGGCGGGTTTGTGGGCCGCGTGTCGGCCTCCAGGGGCCTCTTCGCCGGGCACTTGGGGCCGCCAAGGGAGCCACGATGGACGAAAGACTGGGCCCCAAGAAGACTTGGGCGGCGGGTTTGTTGGCCGCGTTTCGGCCTCCAGGGGCCGACGTAATCGCCGGGCCCTTGGGGCCGCCAAGGGAGCCACGCTGGACGAAAGGCTGGGCCCCAAGAAAACTTCGGCGGCGGGTTTGTGGGCCGCGTGTCGGCCCCCAGGGGCCGACGTCTTCGCCGGGCCTTTCCGGGCCCGCCAATGGGAGCCACGCGGGACGACAGACGGGCGGGGTTGTCGGGCCGCGTTCGGCCTCCAGGGGGCCTCTTCGCGTTGCCTCGGGGCCAGCCGCGCTGGACGAAGGACGGGCCCCAGGGAGGCGTGGCCCAGACCTGCGGGGCCCACGCGTCCAAGAAAAGGAAGATCGGCTGGGTGTCTGGGCGCCAAGAAAAGAAGAGTGTGGCGTCCAAGAAGTGCGGCGTCCAAGAAGCCAGCTGGGTTTCTGTCCCAGGGAAGTGAGGCGTCCAAGAAGAACACCTGGGTGTCTGGGCGCCCCACTCGAGCCCGGGCGGTGTCGGCCGGTTTTTAGGGCCCCGGGGGGGCCCCGTCGTAGATCGCTCTGGCTCGAGAGGTGGCGCAGGAGGAGGGTGAAACCTAGGGCTCCGCGGGTGATTTCTTACGGGCTGTCCATTCTTCTTGGGCCCGCAGGCTTGTTTGTGGGGGGCGCCACGGACGGAAAGACTCCCGGAGCTCCGCGCAGACCTGTTGGACAGGCGCCGGGGCCCCCCCTGGCAGATTTGTGGAGGAGGGGCGGGTGTTGTCGGCGGGGGGCTGCTCGGGCGGCGCGCAGGCGGGGGCGGTTCGGCGAGGGGGGCGCGCCCCCATCGGGCGGGGGGGATTCGAACGGGGGCTTCGGGACGGGGCCCGGAGGCTTGGAACGCGGATGGACCGAACGAGAAAACCCTCGGGGGCGGCGAAGAGGGGGGTGATGACGAGGGGAGGGTGGGGATATCATGGCGTGGGCCATGATCTTTCCTCAGCTTTCATGGCGCCTCTTCTCACTCCACTGCGTCCCTGCCCCCCCCCTCTTGGGCCGCGCACGTGCCGCTGGCCATGATTTACGCCCCCCCTCTTGGCCGCCCCCGACATCCGGAGCAGGCATGGAGACTTTGGGAGGCCCGCGTGGAGGTCTGTCCGGACGGGGCCAGGGCGAGAACGAGCCTGTCCCAGAGCGTTCCGGAACGCTCTCGGAGCGCCCCAGAACGCTTCGCAGCGGCCGCGGCGCCCGAGATATATCCTCTTAAAGCCGCAGGATTCCAGAGCTCCTCGCTTCATGCTCGCTCCTGTATTCTGGGACCAGCGCTGGAGCCCCCCCGGCGGCGCCTGCGGTTCCGCCCCTGGCGCGCTCCGCGCGGCAGGGGGCCGACCGCAGGGGCGCCGTGCGGAGCTCCGCGAGTCCGCGCCTGCGCCGTGCGCTCGTCCCCGGAGGCGCGCTGCCTCGACTTCGTGGTGGTGCTCGCGGACGCCCCCTACGCGAGCATCGACGTGGTCGGCGCCGAGGTCTCCCTCTTCGACATGCAGGTCGGGGGCCTCGCCCCCCACACCGGCCCGCTTCGATCCGAGGGGTCCGACCCGACGTCCCCTCGGGCTCGCTCGGTGCGACTCGGCTCCGGCGTTCTCGGGCGATCCGGCGCGGCCCCGCGCCTGCACGGCGCTGCTGTGCACCCGGGCGCGGCCAAGCCGAGCCGACTTCGACGCCGTGGCGATGCGGGGCCCGATCCGATAGCCGGGCGCGGCCAAGCCGAGTCGACTTCGGCGCCGTGGCGATGCGGGGCCCGATCCGATGGACGTTCTGAGCCGAGCCGGTGTCCCGATGCGACACGGACGGATCCGCCGTCCTGCGGCCGGTTTCTCAACAGCGGCGGCAAGGTCGAGAGCGGGCACTGGCAACAGAGGGGCTTGGTCTCCGCCCCACTCGCGACGTCGCCCCGAGCACACGGCGGATCCGGAGCCGGGGCAACGGGCTGCTTCTCGCAGTTCGTGTTCGGCCTTTGGGGGCTTGCAAGGCGGGAATCTCCGCTCTACCTACGAAGTCGCCCAAGTGGTCGGACCTGGAGTCGTGGGTCCGCCTCCCGTCGTGAAGCAAACTCACGGCGGGAGGCTTTCGTTCGTTGGCTTTCGGTCACCAGAGGGGCCCTTCCGGGCCCCTGGGGCGTCAACATAACTGCTCAGGACGAAGACTCGGCATCGTTCGGACGTGTGCATTATTTTCGGCGAGGGCCATCGAGGAGCCTTTTGGGTCATCTTGCGAAACAACACACGCACGAAACCGACAAATGCACGGGGAATGGACGTCCGAGCGATGGCGAGAAGAGCTGGTCCCAGGGAAGTGGTCCAGACCTCTGGGGACCGGGTCGGCGTTGCGGACAAACCACGACGTCGGAGTTCTGGACAGGAGGGGGGAATGCATGGCCCCCAATCGTGTATTCAGGCGTCGCCGATAGGGGCCCGATGGCCCAGCCCGCCCAGGAGCATGCGGATTCGCTGTGCCGGGGGCCCATCGCCGATCTGTCGGCGACGTATCGCCGATCCCAGCTCCATGTTTCCACCCCTGCCGCCGTTCCGTTCTTCTTCTTCTTCTTCTTCTTCTTCTTCTTCTTCCTCCTCCTCCTCCTCCTCCTCCTCCTCCTCCTCCTCCTCCTCCTGCCTCCTGCTTTCGGGCCATGTAACTCGGGTCTCCGTGTGCCCTTCGCGGCGGTCTCCCTGGGCACCCCCCGGCGGAACGCTCCCGGCGAGGCGCAGACGCTCAAGGGCACCCCGAGGCCGGAGAGCCGCCCAGATCCTGCCACGAATGCGCCCGAGGGCCTCGGAGGAGGGGGAGGAGGAGGCGGAGGAGGAGGAGGAGGAGGAGGAGGAGGCGGAGGAGGAGGAGGAGGAGGAGGAGGAGGAGGAGGAGGAGGTGGAGGAGGAGGAGGAGGAGGAGGAGGAGGAGGAGG